TCATGAGGTCAAGTACTCTTTCCATAATGCACTTTGAGTTTTGTATTGGAAAATTATCTTTCCACCACTGAATGTAGTCTTGAGAGGATAATTCTAGGTGACTTTTTGTTCCTATGAGAGGTGAAGGGTTAGAACTCTCCCCACCACATGGGCAGGCACATGACTTAAGTGCAGTCAATGGAATTCTCTCTCCTGAGTGAATTACTCAAGACCAATAGCTAATTTCTGTGACTTGTAGCCAATCATGAATAATAACTACATCATGAGTTAAATCGAGTAGGAAGACCACTCACAGTTTGGAGTCTAAATATGTTTTCTGACATTGGAAAAACTTTTCTAACTCAATAAGAGAGTTACAGAGGAACTGTTGAATGCAGATGAATCCCCAAAGATGAGAAGTACCTGTCAAGCATCTATTAATTTGCCAAATTTGCAGATAAAGCTGAAGATAGTGACTATGCTCCAGCCTACTTTAGAGGAACATATACATAGCTTACCATTTTCCTGGCGTGAACAAAATGAAAACTGTTTTTGACTATGCAGTTATCTTGTATAAGTCATGATCTTCCTAGGGTGACCTACTAATGGTAACAAACAAGGCAGAGTCAAAAGGCTGACCATTTTGGCCCGAAGGGAGATAAGTTATGGGCAGTCTTTCATCCAGAGGCCCCCTTCCAGTTGGCTGAAGCTTTGTCAGGCCTGCATTGCAGTTCGACTTCTTCCTCTGCTCAGTCTTGCTTCCTCCCCTTCCTTGCACAACTATTGATCCTTAAGAGACATCTCTTCCCCCAAACTCTATCCCAGCATCTGTTTCCAGAAAGCCCAACTGGTGACATCATTGCAATCAGCTTGGTCTCGATTGCTTCAGTGAATCCTTCTAAGGTAGCCAGTGGCCCTACATGCTGGTGAATTGGATAGGCATTTTTCAGCCATCAATTTACTGAACTTTTGTGGCATTTGAAACAGCAATTAAGAAGAAATTACAGTGTCAGCCCACAGAATTAACATTTTCCTTGGAGACACATCATTCATTTTTTCATAATTATTTAATGAAGAGCTTCAAATACTATATAAAAGTATAGGAATATAAAAATAAATAAGACAAAGTTCTTATCTTCTAGGAGCTCTGTTTAATAACATTTCATTGGACATAGATGAAAGAACAAAAACAGAGCACCTTCCAGGTTTTCAGCTTGGGTGACTGGATGATAGAGATGTCATCATCTACAGGAATCTACAGGAAAAATAATTCGTTTAAGATAGAAAAAAGAGGAGCCGGGCTTGGTGGCTCAGCCTGTAATCCCGCGCCTTTGGGAGGCTGAGGTGAGTAGATTGCCTGAGCCCGCGGGTTCAAGACCCATCTGGGCAGTGAGACCTCATCTCTACAATAAATCAAAAAATCAGCCGGGCATGGTAGCGCATGTCTGTAACTCCAGCTACTTGGAAGGCTGAGGTGGAAGGATCGCCGGAGCCCAGCAGGTCGAGGCTGCGGTGGCCGGGAGCGGCCACTGCACTCCAGTCTGGGTGACAGAGTGAGACTCCAACTCAAAAAAAAAAAAAGTTGGAAATAAGAAGAGTTCAGTTTTGAGTTTTATGAATTAGAGGTATAACACGTAGAGATGACTTCAGAGTAATTGTAGCAGGGATCATATTGCAGTAAGTTGAAGACTGAATACATCTTGAGAAAATGGCAAAGGATGAATAGGAATAGGATTCCTAAACCTGGCTGAGCATCAAACTCATATTTAGAGTTAATGAAAAATGGACTCCAAAATTCCTTCCCTAGAGATTCTGATTCAGTTGATCAGAGGAGAAAGACGTATATTTTTACAAACTCTCCAGCTGTACTATGTTCAGTTTGGATTCTTTGAAAAGTAGATACCAAGGTGAGGTAAAAAAGCAAGAATTTTTTTCTGGTGGGAGGGGAGGAGTACTAGTGTGAGAGAAAATGGGGAGGGAGCTGGAGAAGGCTGAGGGTGCTTGTCAGACTACAAGGCAAGTCTACCCTGAAGAAAGGAGGAGGGATGGCTGGGTAGAAGTATCTCAGGGCACTGTGCAGGATAAGGAAGATTTAGCAAGCTTGTCAGGGAATTCTCAGAATAAAGTAGGCCATCTGAGGAGCTCTGTATCTTTCAGAAACAGGCCTACCTTACTCCTACTTAGGCCTACTTAATCCTGCCATACTCAATCACTGGCTAAAGCAGCTTGTGGGAAGACTGGCCTTGGCACAAACATGGTGATGAATTTCAGACCATAGGCGCTGGGGCCTTTGGTCAACTAAATTCCCCACAGTTGGAGGTCTTTGAGGCATTTCCTTTTGGCTGCCACATATACCCTACCATTTTAAGACAATGGAATGAGGAAAGGAAGACAGAAATGGGATATAGCTGGAAAAGTATTGGGGACTAAGGCAAGATTTCATGCTGTTTTTCAGAAGAGAAAGATTTCAACATATTTGTAGCTTAGAAAAGGAAGTCTGCACAACGGGAAAAATTAAAAATAATGAAGAGGGAAGGAAGGAGAGAAAGAGAGATGATGGGAGAAAGGGGAGAGAGAGAGAATGAGAAAGAATGAATTGTGGGAGAAGACTCCAGAAAATACAGGAAGAAATGGAATCAAAGGTTGTGGCTTTGAAACTGAGGTATGACACATTATTCTCTGAGATAACCTGACCTGCCTGGGTACAGGTTAAAGCTGAAGGCTATAGGGACTTACAGGGAATCGCACTTGGTTATCTCAATTTCTAACAAAATCGAAAGCACTGGTGGAAGATCTGGTCTTGAACTGAGGTTACTCTTCTTCTGAGGCTGAAGTAAAAAGCGGTAAGGATGGGTGCAGAGAAAAGCCCTTTTGTAGATGCAGGATCAAGTTAAGAGAGAGAAAGGCTGATTGCCTCAATTTTTTTTAATGAGGTAGAAGAGAGGCAAGGTTATCTGTTGAAGGTGATATTTATTTGTAGCTCAACCCACATGACAAAATCCCACGCATAAAACTATAATAGAAATTATGCATAGTAATTAAAATTAATACTTCAAATATATCTTTTATATTATGATGATTATCTATTACATAAATCTTTCATAGGTGTGTATGTGTCTGTTTCTTAGTTTAGAAAATAAAACTGAAATATTCTCTTTATCTAATATAGAATTTTAAAAACTGACATTGGATTGAATTCATGCTATTCTCAATCAGAAACCAAGTTACTGAAACTATCCTATTTCTATATTAAGTATATTTGCCACCAAATTTAACAAACAAAAGCACTTTTAAGCCAAAAAATTTTATCTAGTTTTAAAAGAAATTAATCACATGGGCAGATACTGGTTAACCCTATCTAAAATTAGACATCAAAGTATTTAATAATTGGAGAAACTTTGCTTGGTTACTTCTATTCTGGAGCCTCACACTTCCAGAATTATATACTGAACAGTGGAAGTTAATGATTTATTTTCAAATTTCAAAGTACCTAAAGGAAATCCTCCTTCACCCTGTGAAGATTTTGAGTTTCTTTACAGTTATCTGAAATTATTTCAATTCAGTGGGTCCACTTAAAAACTCCAATAGGCAATATTATAATGTGGCTGCCAGGTGCAGTGGCTCACATCTGTAATCCCAGTACTTTGGGAGTCCAAGGCAGGAGGATTGCTTGAGCCCAGGAATTTGAGATCAGCTTAGGCAACATAGCTAGACTTCTTCTTTACAAAAAAAACAAAAACAAAAACAAAATTAGCCAGGCAAGGTGGCACACATCTGTAGTTCCAGATACTCAGAAGGCTGAGGCAGAAGGATCACAAGAGCCCAGAAGGTTGAGTCTGTGGTGAGCCATGATTGTACCACTGTACTCCAACCTGGGTGACAGAGTGAGACCCTGACTCAAAAAAAAAAAAATGTGGCTAATGCTCTAATCATTATTTGATCAATGAGTTTTAAAAATAGACTAAAGTTTTTGAAATGTGGAACTGTGGTGCGGAAAGGATTGTAGAAGCCTGGAAGTAATTGGTAGTGAAAGAATTGGGGAAAACTGACTTTGTCTAATTCAGTACTTTACAAATGAGGAAACTGAGGAGATAAATAATTTATTTAATATCACATATGGTTCATTAATAGAACAGCCAGCATTAGGATTTGTGCATTTTGTATTTTAGAAGTTGTGAAAAAGTTGCTTAATATGTTATTTTTCTTGGTGTTAGGATTTTCCATTTTTTATCAATAGTATTTAGTATTCTTGGCATTTGAAACCTAAATGCTGCACATTTTGATTCTAGGTTGCTTTGGGGATATTTCTTAATAGGGAACAGCCCAGTCCAAATACTTGGGTTTATTAATTTGTACTACCTCTACTGGCCAATTTTCCAATAATGTGGTTTAAAAAAAAAAAAAAAAGTTCTGCAGATGTAATTGAAAACACACAAAAAACCCCTGAAACTTTTAGAAGGATCTTCATTGTAAAGAGTTGCTATGAAAGGTGGGTTAGTTTCAAGGTCCATCCTTCCATTCTTCATAGTTTTAGGGTTGTCCTCATGCAGATCTAAACTAGTTATAATAGTACTTTCAACAGAATGCAGAATTAAACTGTTAGCGAGTGAATCTGCAAATAGAAAATTTATTTTAGATTTTTCTACAGTTTAATCTTAGATGTGCATACTAAGTGCAGGACATTCTTATCAAATAATTAACATATATACACAATTAACAAATAGGGACAAATTTTATACAAAGTGTCTGCTCCTACTATATTTTTTGCAAACATTTAACCCACCAGCAGATGATAAGGCAGCATTGCCTTTCTAAAAGATAGATAATTTGAATAGAGAATAATAATAATTAGAAATAATTTTTCTTCTTGTATCATGAGTAAAAATTTTCTTCCTAACATTCTTTATTCTTCTTCCTTATGCTATTTTACACAGGGCAGTCATTTCTTCTCAAATGATTTTTCTTTTTCTTTTTTTATTTTTTATTTTGAGGGGTGTTTGTTGATGGTCGAAAAGAAGTGCAATTGTAGCCAAAGCAGAAATGGGATATTTAATAATTCTTATACCTCATTCATGTAGTCTTCTGAGATATTAAGCAGACAGATCATTTTCTATGTCAAAATTTCAAAACTTTACAGAGATAATTAAAGTTTCATAACAAATAAGTAGTTTTGTACATTCATTTTCTGATACCCAATAACATGCCAATTAAAACTCAGACTTCATACTGGCACCCAATGAACACAGAAGAATGACCAAAGCTGAGTGCTAGTCATTGTCATAGATGCAACCTGAAAGAAAAAAATACAGATTTAAACATAGTTACATAAAATACACTCTCTAAGCGTTCTAGGGTTGGAAATGTGGGTGATTAATACTCTCTCAGTTTATGATTTAAAAAGTGGAACTGGCCACTTTATGAAAAATGAGTTAGATGGAAGGCCATATATTTACCTTTTACTGTTTAATATACAATTCCAAAAAATTTTTGGACACATTTATTCTCTATTAAAATGAAACTCAAGATTATTTCATCTGACACTCAACCAATGTACTTTTTGGTAGTCATTCTGAACAAGGTTGAAAATATTAAATATCAGCAAGAATCATGAGGTTAGAAGACTAAAGGGTAATGTGATGTCACACTTCGGTTTAATTTTTTAAATCATAATTTATAAACACATGATGCTTAGACAATACTCATATTATTGATTATGAAATAAGTACCTATTTATTGGCAAAGCATAAATAAAAAGTACCAAATATTTTTATATTTCTGTTTTTAAAGAAAATAAATACTTTTCTTTCTTGATTTCCAGTTCTGTATGAAAATGTTTGTCCTCCCTCCCCCATTATACCAGGGCATTTACCGTTTCTAACATTTTCAAGTGATTCAAATTCTGACCAGATTGGAAGGCTCTAATTAATCCAATAAGCTATTTTTTAGTAATTGTAAAACATTAAATTTACTGTTATTGTTCTCTGTAATGATGCTAGATAAGACTTACCATCAGCAATATCATCATAGATCTCTCCATCACTGTTAATGTAGAAAATAATTTTTATTTAAAAAATCTTCTTAATATTAAAACAATATAGAGATGAAAAGGGTAATAGTGTGATTTTTATATAACACAATTTAAGGCATTTAAGCATATTATGCATTTATAAGTGGAAATAAATTTCATATTCATCATTTCTTCTTTAATTGGCTTAACCCTAACCCTCTGTTTCATTTACATACAGAATAATTAAAACATGCCTTAATAACACAGACTAAGCCTTCTTTATCTTTGTAAGAAATGTTTGATAAATTGAACAAACTGAACAACAGTCATATTGGAATACTATATGGGGGGCCTTAATTCAAAACTGTAATTAATTTTTGTATCTTTTAATATCAGATTCACACTTTTATCTGAAATTCAAATGGTGAGTGAAAAACACTAATATTTGGCAAAGGAACTGGCTGCATCATTTTCACATATTTCTAATGGTAAGTTGTAAATATTATAAAATAGATAAATATTAGTTACAGAATAAGTAACAAGAGATGGTTATCATGGTGATTCTCATGTTATATAATCCTAAAAATATTGCTATGATTATAGGCAGCATTCATAATAACAGTTTTGGCTGCTTTGACACATTTTAGGTTTTGTGTGGCCCCAAATCTTTGTGAAATATTGTATTCAACAAACATAATGAGTCCTTTCTTTGATATATCAGGAGACACATCACACAGGAGTAAGACACAAGCTTTGATTTTATATTCATCAAAATACCTTATAATCTAATGGAAGATTACATAAGGAATAAAAATAGAAAATATGATACATATTAACATAAACTTGAGATGTAGGATACACCTTCAAGATTCAGAAACTTAAGGTGGCTTTGTCACTTAGACCCACTCTGCTGATCTCTATTTTATCAGGGAAGCAGCAGCAGGCCTTCCAAATTGCTGCCAACGATGGCAGATGCTGTGAGTTCCCTATGTCTTCTGTTCAGATCCTTTCTGAGATTGAGGGAGGGTCTGGCTAGTGGAAACCTGATACAAATGCAAAGAGGACAGATTTTCCTGCCATTTATTCAATAAACATTTATTAAGTGTTCACTTCAATAGGTAGTGAACCAATATACTTTCTAAATTCTCTCTTCATCAGCCTGTAATAATCACTGATGAAGATATTGTCTTACTATTTGCCATGCATTCTTTCCTTCAAATTTGTATCTTTCATAGGACAAGAGCTATTAAAAATTTCCATGCCTACCACTATGATTAATACGCTAAGGGAAACAAAAAGATATGATTATTTTTCTTCTGACGTTCACTTGTTTGCTGACAAAGCTCTTCCTGTTGATTTATTTCTTTCTCACTGGTGTTGGGTTGTTTTTGGATACACAGTTTGTGAATCCTCTTTGATCTTTTCATTGTGCTGAATTCCATAAATCTTTGCATTCGTATAAAACCTAACCCAATAATGGAGTTCATTTCTTGCACTGGGTTACTTGGGACAAAATCTTACAACATTTGGAAAACTGCAAAGGCACATTAATACCAGACTGTGACAGACTGTGACAATGTCTTATTCATAAGAATAGAAGAATCATTGACGACTATCTTTTAACTGGCATGTTTCCAAAAAGGCAACATAATACTCCACTATGCTTAGTGAATGAAGAAAAGCCCTCAATGAAGGGCTAAATCATAAACTGTAAACAGGTGTTAGTAACACCTACTGTACAGACACTAATTGGTCCCAAATTAATTCAATTCAACCAATTGTATTAGTAAGTGAAATGCAAAGTATTAATGAAAAGGTTACTGACTTTTACCTGTCTGTCTTCAGTGTTTGCTGAGAGCCCAATGAAAATATAAAACTATGAACTATATAATTATAAATGAGAAGGGCTTCTTGCCTATTTAAGAGGAGCATTTTATGAGAACCTTAACTTTATTATGGATACTTCCATATTGACATTAGTATAGAATATTGTTTTAAAATTGATTTATGACAGTTCTGTAAGTTACATTATTTAAATGATATTAGTATTTTTTTTTAAAGAAAAGCACAAAAATTCTTTTTATAAGTATAGTAGTAAGAAAAAAAAATGGGCTTACTTGTCCACCAGATAACTCCGAAGGACATAACCATCTAGGAAGAAAAAAGGAAATAAATTTTATTAATGGCACAGGTTTGAAAAAACTTTAGTATAGCTTTTAAGTAATCAAAACACAATAGCACAATAATTATATTATATCAAATAACTGTATTTATCTCTGAATATGACCTGTTTTTCGTATTTGCATCTACTTTCTTTTCTTCCTTTCTCCTCTTTTTCTAATTTTTCTTTCTCTCTAACATGTCTTATTTTTCCTCTACTTGCAATCTTTTCTCCTTTCCCCTTCAAATACATTTTAAAAATCTTATTTTTTTTCCTCTTAGCTATTGCAGGTCCTAGCACAGGGTTCTTTCAAATTTTAATCTATTTCTTCAAGGTGTTACCCACATGATCCAGTTTTAGAAAGAATTTAGTAGGCCTGGACTATGAAAGTAGTTTATAGGTAAGTATTTTAAATACCACCAGATCTAAGATTTGCCTTTTACTACACTGAAAAAAGTCAGAACTGTATTCAACTCCCCTTTCCGATGCCAGCAAGCTAATAGCTACTATGAGGAGTATGCATTTTAAATAGTCTCAACAGAACTGTCTTTTACACTGCATAGGAGAACTTCCTCTACTATTTTTGTATTTGACAAGAGTGTCAACATTTGTTTTTCATTATTTATGGAATATGGTATTATTGGAAGAACACATACCAGCAATTCTGTGATGCTTTGGTTAAGCAGAAAATAAGCTGGGGAAATAAATATAGGAAACACGTAATACTCTACTATACCTAGTGTGAATAGAGATAAATCCTCAATTAAGGGTTAAACTGTAAATTATTGGTAGGTGATATTTTATGCAACAAAGTTTTTTTTTTTTTGAGTACATTATATTTGCCTCTCACTGTGTACATTTTCTTAGGAAAAATATGAACTATCTTTCTTGAGAAAATGTCTACTGACATCTAATTAATATTACTAATCTTTGGAATTGTTAGTTTTGTGTTAGTGCCTAAAATCTGTATGCTCGAGATCGGTACCACTTACTACTTTTTCACAAGCTTTAAGTAATTTCTCTTCTGAGTCAATCTACTGGTTTTGATTCCCTTTTAAATTTAATTCTGGTTCTAAGTCAGAATAAATCTAGTAAAAATTATAAAAAGAAGTCCCATAAGAAAAGTTTAATGCAAGGCATAAACCTATTTAAATGTATGTTTATTGCCATTGATTAAACATGAAAAGATTAGAATTCTACAACTGATATTGTAGATTAAAATGTAAAAAAATGAACTTTCCCTTGAAGTATTGCAGGGTTAAAAAAAAAACTTTCACTGAAACATCTTATCAAGAAGTTCACTACTTTTAATTAAAACTGTTTATAAGCATCATTTTTGGAAAATAAAGAATTAAAGTTATTTTTGAAGTCTTATCATATGGAACTAATAAAGCATGTGTCAAAATGATAAAAGCACAATAAAGTAATATTTTACTCAGAGTATGAAAAACTACAACATGTTATGCCTTCTTTTTTATTTTACTTTAAGCAAAAGTAGACCAGGTATGGCTTCCACCTGTAATCCCAGTGCTTTGGGAAGCTAAGGCAGGAGGATTGCTTGAGCCTAGGAGTTTGAGAACAGTTTGGGCAACATAGTGAGACCCCTGTTTCTACAAAAAAAAAAAAAAAAAATTAACTGGTTATGGTGGTAACAAGCCTGCTACTCAGGAGGCTGAGGAGGAAGTATTGTTTCAGCCCAAGAGTTCAAGACTTCAGTGAGCTGTGATGGTGCCACTGTACTTCAGCCTGGGCAACAGGCTCATAAATAAATACATAAATAAATAAAGCAAAAGCAGCAAAAATTATTAATGTAAGAACATTTACAACTAATATCTATGATTCCTGGATAGGCTTTGACATCACAGTTCATTTCTCAGTAACAGATTTTCTTTTCTGTTTTTCTTTTTCTTTTTTTTAGTCGGAGTCTCACTCTGTCACTCAGGATGGAGTGCAGTATCATGACCATGGCTCACCACAGCCTTGACTCGAGGGCTCAAGTGATCCTTCTGCCTGAGCCTCCCAAGTAACTAGGACTACACACATGTACCACCACACCTGGCTAGTTTTGTTTTGTTTTGTTTTGTTGTAGAGTTGAGGTTCTCACTATGCTGCTCAGGCTAGTCTTGAACTCTTGGCCTCAAGTGATCCTCCTGCCTAGGCCTTCCGAAGTGCTGGGACTACAGACATAGGGCTTGGCCAATTTTCTTTTTAAATTAAGGCATACTTCATAATGTAACATAATTTTAAAAGAGGGATAAGCTTATGTCTAACAAATTCAGCCCTGAGTCTATCTCTCAAAAGGGAAAATCTGTGCAGATAAGCTTTTAGAACAAATTGTGGATTTTGTATCAGGTCTCAGTAACTCAAATCACTCTGTACCTATATTTGGAGCTAAACTAAAATTTGAACAGTTCTCTACAGATAGTAATAGTCACTGACTTTATTTTTAATCAGTTAAAATTGGTGGGGATTTTTCTTTAAAAAATTGGAAAATAAACAACAAAACAGTTAATGTACCCATGATATATTTGTGTTTATGTTAATAATAAAAATAATGATGTACATGAACTGAAGTCTTTAACATTGAAGTCAATCTCATACGAGTTGTTAGGACTTCATAAAATCTCTGAGCTAAAATTGGAACACAGAAAATTTGAGAATTGTATAAGAAATTATAAGCTGTTGTTAGGACTGGAATTATTCTGGTATCACATAGATTTCTATTTTTTTAATCTCAAGAAGATCGTAAAAAAGAAAGTTCAAAACAAAGAAAATGCAACCACCATTTTTGGAAATGAAGGATTTTTAAATTTTCCTATGCTTTCCTATGCTTTTAGGTAATCTACTTTTAAAAACTCAATTATGCTAAAATTTTGCAGGCCTGGATAAAACAGTATATCTAAAGAACCATAAAACAATCCTTTACATGACCAAAGTTAATCATTCATAATATATAGCTTGGTTACCTCAACTTTACAAATTAATTATAAAAAATATATTCTCTGAGATTCTCAAACCCTTATTTCCTTCTCTCCTATATCTTGCCTGTTTAAGAGTTCTAAGTAACAGCTTTCTCTTTTGCTGAACACTCCATTGTTGTTGAGATCCCTAAACATCAATGATAGGAAATATTATTTAAGAAAAATGCATCAAGGAGATGGAGTATAGGATGGTACCGTGCTGCTGGTGTCTCCTGAAATGATGGGATATATATGGGGATTATTAGCTATAAAATCATTGTTCTATGGCATTTTTTAGCACATCATAGGTTTTGTTGTCTAGTACTTAAAAGAAATCTCTGCTAAAACTTCATTCTATTACAGGCATGATTTATGATGGTGTCAAAACAAGTGACTTACCATAAATTTTTATATAATCTTCCTATTATAGTTCCTAGAAATAATTTTTGTTTGTAGTAGAAAAACGTCCTCTTTGCTTACATGTTACATGTTGTACATTATAGGGAATGTTAATGAATACAATAAACAAATGAAATAAATAAACAAAAACCTCATCATGGTCTGTACCATGTAGAATGGCTGCTGTTTCATTAGCTGTATAATATTGTGAATGCAGGCAACCAGGGATTCTCACATATCATATGAAATTATTGTCTGGAAACCTCCCATTCAAGAGCAGAACATAATGGCTCGAAAAAAAGGTTTTGAAATATGTGGTGGGGTAGAAGTAGTTAGGACCCACCCCCGATAGGTGCCAGTTATTTTTTGTCCCCAAATGTTTGCTTGCTACAGTGCAGATGTGTCTCAAGGCTAGTGACTCATCTTCTAGAAGGGCACTGTGATTACAAGGAAATAAAAAATAGCATTTGAAAAAATAGAAATGATCTTTATCCTAATAATTTCACATTTTTTCTTAACACAAATGATAATACAATATTTTATAATTATTTCATGTTGTGGGCAAATTCAGAAATAAAGTTAAATTTACTCAATTTGGTCTCATGCAGTTTAAAAACAATCAAATCATATTGTATACTTTTGTTCTGGCAAGTAAAACAATGTCTGACTTCAAGGGAAAATACTCATAAAGTATGGTGTAAATACTGATTATAAATTATCATCTTAGATTTATAAAAATGTTCTCCTTCTCTCTCTTCTCTGTCTCTCTTTATAGCTATTTCTGGGGCTTCAGAACCAAGCAACTTTTAAAATTTCTGAATTTTTAAAATCTTTCTTCAGTGAGCGTGCATTGTTTTAAAATTGAAAAAACAATTATTCTAGTAAATAATCAATCACTTGGACTTGGGAAGATCTAAAACACCTTTGAAAGCCCCTTTTCATTGATGTCTGAAGGAAATTGAGAACATTTGGCCACAAATAACTCAGCTCTTGTCTCATCCCGCACTTTTTGTAGGACATTTTTTTTCAGTGACAGGAGGTGGGAAAATTCACAGCTTATGAGACATTGAGTTGTGGAATATGCGCAAATATTAGCGAGAAATTCGAAACATTTAGAAATGTGACAAAAAATATATATTTAAGATCTCAATACCTACACAGTACTCACTTCTACAAGTCAGTGGATGAGACTTGATCAAATGTGATAATGTCTGTAAAAGTGGTGAGTGTTTCACTCCACGATGGTAAGGGATTGTTGTTCATGCTTTAGCCTCTAATTGCTATCCTTTCCAACTTTAGGTTGAAGTAAACTATGCTTTCTTTTCTTTAATGGATTAAAAAATAATGGAGGTTAAGGATAATGTTAGCATCATCATGGTGCTGGTGTGCAAATGCCTTTGCTACTAGTCAGAAGATGCAGAAAAGGGAACTGAAAGATTTAGAGGCTCTCCAATGATATGCAAGTTAACCATGTTATTAAGGCTAAGACAGAGAAATTCTGTCTTCCAACTGGTTAAACTATTCAATAGACTTCCTGTGAGTGTCTGTATGTCAGACTTTCATATGGCTATCCAACTGCAATTTCCAAACTGTTACATTCAATTCAGCAAGTCTCACACAAGGTACAAGACAGTGTGCAATGTGTTGGGAACACAATGTTGGTAATATTTCACTGACGCTATCTAAAACTCAGGGTCTAATAAAAGCAATAGATTGGTAAAACAATAATGACAATTACAGCAGCAAAGTGAGTATCATGGTGGAGTTGGGGAAAGATTAATTGTGATAGGGTGACTGGGAGTAGGGAGTGGGGGTGCCTCTAATTCTAGATGAGAACTAAGTTATTTTTAATAGACAGTTATGGGCATTCCAAGTTGAATAAAATAGTATCCTAGGATGAAAAAGTATAATTTATTCAGGGAATGACAAATAGTTTGTATTTCTGGAGTGTCAGTTGTAAATGGGAAACAGCAGTTGGTGAGGACAAAACTAGATATAGAGGGTTTTAAGGGAGAGCTTAAAGACTATGGTTGAAAAAATTAATATTTGGGAAACAGTGTGGTGAGTGGATTCATTGGGAGTAAGGACAAAGAGAGACATATTTGAAATTTTATGCAACTATTCAGGTGAGGGAGGGTTACATCTATAAATCTCAGCCTACAGAAGAGTGCGAAGAATGAATTAGACATTTTAAAAATTAAGAATGTCAAGGATCCAGTGCAAGGAAGAACTAAACAGACGCTTTGCAAAAATTAAGAAAAGCAGGAAGCTTGAAAAAAAATGAAATTAAGCAGATATGGTAATTAAACCTTAGAATAATACTTAACCTGAATGGCAGTAGCAGATGCTTCCCCTCCCTCACATCCTCATCCTTACAGCACTTACATTTAAGTTTTTTTTTTCTTATGCCTTTTCTTCTGGCTTCCAGAACTCTCTTTGTCAGCTTGCTCAGTCTCTGAATTACTCCCTACCTGTCCAGAAATAGGTTTCAACTCCTGGAGGACAAGAGTTGTTGTATAAATACCCGAATTTGTTTTCTACTTCATGGGATAACACTGACACCCAGAGTTTCCCAGCAAGATTAAGCTCCAATTATCAAGGGAACGTCTTTGATAACAAAGCCTTATTGACTTCCTTCCATTTTGCGTCTCATTTCTCTGCTTACCTATAGGTATTTCCCAGACTCACTTTCCAAACAAGGAATCCAAGATAATACAAAATCCAGCCCAAAGAAGATCTTTACATAAAAAATAGGCATATAAATGCTACTGATAAAATCATCTGGTTTCTATCCTGTTTGAGATCCGCCCCCCCTCCCCAGCAAACCAGCTAAGAATTGAAGTAATTACCGGTAACCTTGGAAATTGTGAATTGCACTGGTACTATACCAAAAAAGAAGAGAGTAAAAGTTACACGATACTCTTAATGTAATCTACCAGAAGTTTCACGAAACTCTTGAATGTAATATACCAGCGGTTTATAAAATATTTCCTCTGTTTTCTTTTGAGTTGGAGTCTCATTCCGTCAGGCTGGAGTGCAGTGGCACGCACAATCACGGCCACCCCAGCGTCGACTGTCTGGGCTCCAGCCATCCTTCCGGGCTGATCTCAAACCCGCGGGCTCAGGCAATCCACTCGCCTTGGCCTCCCAAAGTGCTGGGATTACAGGCTGAGTCACCGAACCTGGCCCTCTGCTCATTTTTAAGAGATGAATTATTCTAAGAGACAGAAGCCCCATGGTATTCATAATAGTACTTAGAATTATTGATAGTCAAAATAGAAAATCATAAGTGGATTATAAAATTATCCCTGAATGGCTACTGCTTTTTCTCATTCTTAAGGTCCACTGGTTCCTAGGGAGAACGGAGTCTTTTCTCTGAGTTTCTGTTACTGGTACTACATCTATTCCTGCTTATCTATATCCATATATATTTGATTTTTTTTTTTTTTTTTTTGAGTCAGAGTCTTACTCTGTAACCCAGGCTGGAGCGCAGTGGCACACTCAAGGCTACTGAAGCCTCGACCTGCTGGGATCAGGTGATCCTTCCACCTAAGCATTCTGAATAATTGGAGCTACAGGCATGTGCCACCACACCCAGCTAATTTTTTGTAGAGATGAGGTTTTGTCAAGTTGTCCAGGTTGGTCTTGAACCCCTGGGCTCAGGCAGTCCTCTCACCTTAGCCTCCCAAGGTGCTGAGATTGCAAGCATGAGTCACTGCACCTAACCGTATATCCATAATATTAGAGATGAGGACAGCTACAGCCTTGTTACTCAGGGTATGTTCCCTGGACCAGCAGCACCAATTACCTGGGAGCTTGATAAAATGAAGACTGTCATGCCATTTTTATAAAGGCAAGTGAAAAAGATAAGTAAAAAAATAAAAAGAATGCCAGACCTTACTTCAGAACTACTAAATTAGAATCTACATTTTCAACAAGACCCCCCCATTGATGTGTATGTACTTTGAAGCTGGAGAAGCATTGCTTTAGACTGAATTTGTTGCTAACATGGCATTAGATTGAATTTGTTGCTAACATTGCTTTAGACTGAATTTGTTGCTACTTAGGCTGTAGTGCAGTGGCATGATCACAACTACTGCAGTCTCAACCTGCTGAGCTCAGGCGATCCTTCTGCCTCAACTTTCCACGTAGCTGAAACTACAGGCACTTATCATGCCCAGCTAGTTTTTTGATTTGTTGTAGAGACAAGGTCTCTCCAAATTGCTCATACAGGTCTCGAACCCCTAGGCTCAGGTAATCCTCTCACCTTGGTCTCTCAAAGTGCTGAGATTACAGGTGTAAGCCACCATGCCAGGCTTGGGAATTTTTTTTTTTTTAACATGGCTGTAAATTCTACTTCAAATTAGGAAGACTTATTTCTCCTACTATTGCCATGAGTAATTCATCACATTATTATCATAAATATCTTTTAAAATATTCCACTGGGTATAGTCATCATAACATTTAATCACTTAAAAATCTTGACATCGAAACATTTTTTGATAGCCTTTTAATGCATACAGTTTTTCTGCATCTAAGGCTATTCCATGGGGTAGATACAAATTTGAATCTGATGGGGCTTTTCTTTGTCTCCTGGAGCTCTTCCTACATATTCTCTCCAGTGAGTATCAAATCTTAATATTACACGTCCTTGACCTTTAACTTTGGTGCCCACATTCCATATTTTTCTTTGAAAAGCCAACCATACCTCTTCTATGATAACTTTACATCCATTTCCTCCAACCCTGAGTGACTGTTTTATTCTTGAAACTACATTTCAGTTCCTGTCCCTGAGTCACCTTCCTCCCATTAAAATTAAACTCAGAGTCCATGTTTTCCACGCAGATTGACCAAGTTGATATGGGGCAGTTGTATTGGCTATCCAATTTCAAATAAGACAACATAATTTTGAATTTCTCTTCCCTGAACTTTAAAGAAACTTCCTTTTGAAATTTGACAAAAATGCTTCTGTTCGTCAACTTTACTAGCTGATAAAGTCAAAGAGGACAGAGACTCTTTTGTATTTATTGGAATAGTATGTTGCATCAGGTGCATTTGAACAGGAAATAAAAACAAGTGAATTTGCTAGGTAAAAAGCCTGGAAACTCTAGGTATATAATATTCAGAATTCTATATAATTTGAAATTCTGTATAGAACTCTTGCTCTGGCTTGTTTTTGAAATTATGTAGCTATGTACATGTGAACAAGTAAGGGAAGAAGTTATGGTCATAGATTTCACCTTATTCATCAAGTGAAGGGTGGGTCCAGGAAACTGCAATTTTAATACACACACAAGGACTTTCCTGATGCTGATGGCTTGTAGGACTGCATATTGAGAAGTACTAATTTGGCATTAACTTTGATACCACAGTGTATAAATAGTAGATGGTAAAGGATATGAGATGGTAATAAAATACATTATTTTTCAGCAGAGCAAAGCGTCTAGTTTCTTAATGTTTCTCAAAACTAACCAAGCATAGAGCAAAGAATTAGTAAAAACAAGGTAGTCACTAAAACTTGTTTGGTTAAATTCTGGAGTGCCATATATGTGTAGTGTAAGCAGTGACTTACATTTTCCTTCTTCATTTCTGCAAAGAACTTTTGTGTCGTCTGTGTTTTGTATAACTTCAAGTGAGTCACCAGGTTTTATCTGTAGATCTCTGGTACCCCACTTTTTAGAAGTTAAAGAGGCTGCGACTTTGGTTGAATATAGAACTCTAATTTCACCATCATACTGGAAAAATAAAAACATTTAAATTATTGGCTGATGTGTATTATTATAATAACTCATTTATTGACAGAATTATTAAAAAGGTATTTGCTAAAGAAATACTTCAGTGTTTTCAAAAGATAATGTAAGAATCTTAAAGAAAATTTTGGGAGGCAAATGCCACTCATAACCTCACCAACATAATATAACAGATATTTTTAGTAACTTCATATTAATGTTCAAAGGACAGCTAAATTTAGATGAGTACCACAGTTTACAAATTGTGCATAAATATATCACAGTATATATCGCAGTGTATATGCCACAGTGTATAAATTGCTTAATCTTTTATAAGAATAAATTTAAATCTAAAATACATTTTGTAGAAAATATAGGCGTTATCATGGCTAATTGTAATATTGATAATTACATTTTAAACATGTGCACTTTGGTACTTAAAAATCATCAGGTTTTTTCATTAGTGTTTTGAACTTTGTATAATATTTAAATATAACATACTTTAAATTTTTTTCTGAAGTCTTTTTCTTCTTTTTCCTGCTTTTTTAGCTTCTTGGGGCCTTTTTCTTCTGTCTTAGTTTTGCCAGTATTGATTCCTTGACTAGGATAGTAGAACACACATTTTTAAAAAAGACACTAAAATATAAAAAGAATAGTGTATAATAGAGACTTAATTCATAACATTAAGTTTTTGTCAGATTTTGTTTTAATTAATTCATTCTTAGAAACCTAGTATCATTAATCATAATAAATGATATTCCATAACACAGAAGGAATTCTTCAAGAGAATACAGATTATGAGAGCTGAAATGGAAGTAAGAGATTCTCTGTTAAATTGAACCTTATGAGTTATAGTTTAAACAGAGTTGCATATCAGCAGTTTCATATGATTCAACCTATTTTTCAACCCCCTATTAGTAAAAACAAGGTAGTCAGTAAAACTTGTTTGGTTAACTAAGATAACTGTCCAATCCCATGGAAAGGACTTTTTTTTTGTTGTTAAAAAAAAAGAACACCTTTTTCAAAACTTGATTTTTATGTCTTATCAAGTTTAGGTTAATTTTTTTTTACATTAACTTCAAATGGAGTCAGAGTATTGGTTAATAAAAAACGCTTGGGTAAAAGTTAAGTTTTTAAATATTATAAGAAAGAGCTTCCTATAAAAGATGGCTAATATTCAATATTTATCTTAATTACTTCATCAACTGTCCATTTGTATGTGTGTATTTATGTGTACATTTAAGAGACAGAGACAGAAAGAGACAGAGAGAGAAAAAGAGAGAGAGAGAGAGAGAATGAACATATCTGAAGTGTTCTGAGCAATTAATGAACTTAATATTTTTTAAAAATCCCAAAACCTAGAATCTAGAAATAGAAATCCATTGTATCTCCTAGGTATCAACTGGATTGAAGCCAGTTATCATAATACAGACGGAATAAGTATAATATAGTGAGTTCTCTAGCCTATCCACACATAGGCTCATCTGAGACACTTTTAAAGCATACCACTGCCCTTACCTAGATCCTGGAAATTCTAATTTAATTTACATTAATTTTAAATTTGAATTTACTCTGAGTGGGGTCCAGGCACTGACATACATAGTTTAAAAACTTCTCGTATGATTTTTTTTTTCTTTTGAGTTGGAGTCTCACTCTGTCACCCAGACTGGAGTGTAGTGGCATGCTCCCGGCCACCGCAGCCTTGATCTGCTGGGTACCAGCAATCCTTCCACCTCAGCCTTCCAAGTAGCTGGAACTACAGGCTCGTGCTACCACGCCCGGCTAATTTTTTTGATTTATTGTAGAGATGAGGTCTCGCCAAGTTGCCCAGGCGGGTCTTGAACCTGTGGGCTCAGGCAATTCACTCACCTCAGCCTCCCAAAGCACTGGTATTACAGGCTGAGCCACCGAGCCCGGCCTTGTATGATATTGATTTGCAACCAAAATTGAGGATCATTCAGCAAGTTTAAACATGGATGTTAAGGAAGGGCTATGAATCTCTTCAAGAAGGGAATTTTAAAAATTAGAATATGTGTGAATAATAAAAAATCTTATACACTGATTATTTTTATTTAGATGATATAAGAATACTTGCAACCAATTCATTTAAAACATTTTATTCTCCATTTTTGAATCTTAGCATTTACCTCATTCACTGTAAAAAGAATTAACACAATATCCTGTCTAAGGCTCTCTATCTGCCGTCAGTACCTCCTGCTACTGGTAGGCTGGGCATCTGTAGAATTACTGCTCCAGATTAGCTCTCTGGGGCTATTCAAATATATCTGGAAAGTTCAAAAATCACTACAATCTCTCTTTAAAAATCATTGATTAAAAATTATTAAAACATCGAATACTATGTTAGAGAACATAAGCTTGTTTTAAACTTTGCAAATAGGCAACAGGGAAGAAAACAGTCCATATCAGATAAATTTTAGTCTATTGGGGTTGATTTTGCTCGAAGAAAAGAGCCAGTGTGTGACTCTGGGTTCCCGGAGAGCTATTTTATGGAACATGGTGGCATTTCTACAGTCATATAAAACAACAACAAAAAAGTGCATTAAAACTGTCAAGAATTGAAACGCCAATGGTGAGAGATATACTAAAACATGAAGAATGAACTGAAGGTTTGATTTTTGTTTCATGGAGAACGAAAAAAGAGGAATGATTCTTTTTTCATCTTTCTTATTTGTTTTGCCTGTAGAACTTGATCTTCATATATGAATGACAACATATTTTTTTCTTCAGATTCTTTGCTCTTAAAACCTTCTGCAGTTTAACACAATGAGTTTAACAATGTTTGCAAAAAATAGAGTTCACTCATGCATTTTTACCAGTACATCTCAGAAGACACCACTTACTATATGCCATTTATGTTCCTTTCATCCTTTAACTAATCAAGTATAAGATCTCTTTATTCACCTTTCTTTTTTCTTGAAAAGACTGGAGAACTGTTCTTGCTTTTATACACAGTACGTCTCAGATCATCTCACATATTTATTAGAGTATGAGCAAGCATCCTACCATGTTATTTTCTATTTCAAAATTTTTTCAAGAAGTACTCCTTTTGTATTAACTTATCTTAACAGATTTTTATACAATTTTCACTTAAAATTAAATAGAAACTTTAGGTAAACTGAAGATTGTTACTATTCACTGTCATTTCTTTTTTTAGATTTCAATGGAACTTCTGAGTTCTGTTAATTTTATGAAAAAGGGACATACCTAAAAATCCTTTTAAAAAACAAATCATAAAGGACATGATCTTCTGGAAGACAGAAGTGACTTGAACAAGGTGAGCGAGGGCTTAGACGTAAGATAAGAAGTACATTTAAGACAAACACAGTTTTGGGAAAATAGTAAAAACAAAAAGATGAGATGAATCAGTGAGGTTAGATTTGACCAGGATCTCAAATATATTTTCCCAGTGAATTAATGAATAAATGAACACAGACATCAGTGGATCATAGGGTAGAGGTTAATTAGGAGACAAGGAGCAGAAATAGGGGGATAAAGAGGGGTTAGGGGCAGCGGGAAGGAGGATTAGGGGTGTCCACTCACAAACTCAGAAGAGAGGTTAGAGTTGGGATCAGAAAGAAATGTAGCTTTAGAGAGAAGGACAATGAACACTACCACACACAATAGACACACACCCCATTGGGTTTCTATTTCAGATGAATTTTCTTGAGCAATCTCATTTTCATTACTTCATCATAATAAAAGTTTCTTATTTACCTCATCTCTGCTGATGGAGAAGGGAAATCAGAGGTATCCACATCATCGTAAACCTCATCTCCTGTGTCTAACAAAAGACAGAATATCAAAGGTTGAAATATTGTTAGTTTAAATTTGCTCATTTTATATGAACATTCAATGATATTTTGAATATAAAGATTGCTTCAAGGACAATAAAATAAGTTTTCCTGGTATCTGGGTACATTTCTCCTGGAAGCATTGTCTGTTACTGAAAGGAGAGAGGTTCTTATATCCCTGGATGTGTGTTAAATTTTCCTCAAAAACCAGTGACCATGACTATAGCCATCATTATCTGGGAAAAAACTCATAGAACAGTGACTGTGATGATCTGAAGCTCTACAAGTGCAATGAACGACAGGAGTAGCACATGGTTGACAGACCAATCCATATTACTGGCCATTGGCAGGAAGAAGTGGAGTTTGAAACTGAGATTCTTATGGGATTTAGGGTGCTATGATAACATGTATCATTCTACTTAAATACCTATGTCTCCCTCCCTCCTTCTTTCCCTCCCTCCCTCTTTCCTCTCACTGATCTGTTTCTCATTAACTTTTATCTTGCAGTGATATTAGGAGTGGCACCAATTTCAAATGGACAGATTATTTTCATTAATAAGATCATTCTTTTGCCAGCAGACGTTGAGAAACCATAGAAAAGTTGTCATGGTCTTAACGGGTTCAACAGCTTTTCCAATCTGTAGATATTTTTATTTCTTCCAAACCTTGTTAATAAAGTCAGGAAGAATGCATCCTTTTTGCACCTATTAAGTTGCTTCACAGCAAATTAAACTGAAAAGATGAGTTGAAGAAATTGCAAACCATTTAAGGAATGATTATCATAAAAAGTTTAAATGTTCTCTGGTAGTAGCAAGAAATTGATTTTCTTTAAAAATTCCTCTCTTGGCCAGGCACAGTGGCTCAAGCCTGTAATCCCACCACTTTGGGAGGCCGAAGTGAGAGGACTGCCTGAGCCCAGGGGTTCGAGACCAGCCTGGGCAACTTGGTGAGACCTCATCTCTACAATAAATCAAAAAATTAGCTGAGCATGGTAGCGGGCACCTGTAGTTCTGGCTACTTGAAAGGCTGAGGTGGAAGGATTGCCGGAGCCCAGCAGGTCAAGGCTGCGGTGGCTGTGAGTATGCCACTGCACTCCAGCCTGGGCAAAAGAGTGAGACTCCAACTCAAAAAAAAAAAAAAATCCTCTCTCTCTCTCTCTGTATTCAGGTTAATTAATTTCACAGGATAAAACTTGCTCAGCTGTATAAAAAAATCTGTAATAAATACTTTAAAAAATTGGTTTCCAGGAGGTTAAAAGTTACTATTCCATGCACATGCATGTAAAGTACACTTGAGAACAACAATACAAAATTAAAACAAAAACTTCATTTTTAAAAACTGAATCGATGACATTTGTTCCATTTTGTACCTACTTTTGGTGGAGCTAATTTTTTTGTGGAGCTAAACTTTTTTGAATATTTAAAAAATATTATATATTAGAATACAAGCTTATCAGGTACTGACCAATTTGAGTTCACCCTTTTCATATTTTCAAATTGATGACTGAAAAGAAAGTTCTAATATCAGATAAAGAGTCTAGAAGAATAAATTATCTCTGTGTTGGCTTGCTCTTTTAAAATCCTCTGAATATTCTTCTTCTTCTTTTTTTTTTTTTTTTAGACAGGGTTTTACTCTGTCGCCCGGGCTAGAATGCAGTGGAATGATCATGGTTCATCACAGCCTGGAACTTCCGGGCTCAGGCGATGTTTCCATCTCAGCCTCCCCAGTAGCTGCAACTACGGGCGTGCATTACTACACCTGGATAATTATTTTTTTTTGTTCGTAGGTGGTTTCACTATATTGCCCAGGCTGGTCTTGAACTCCTGGGCTCATGCGATTCTCCTACTTTAGCCTGCCAAAGTCTGGGATTACAGACATGAGTCACTGCACCTGGCCAGAAATCCCCTGACTACTTTAATCCATCCATCCATCAATCAATCAATTAATTAATTAATCAATTGATTGAGTTGGAGTCGCTGGGCTCCAGCGATCCTTCCACCTCAGCCTTCCAAGTAGCTGGAACTACCGGTGCCCGCTACCATGCTCGGCTAATGTTTTGATTTATTGTAGTGACGAGGTCTCACCAAGTTGCTCAGGCTGGTATCGAACCCGCGGGCTCAGGCAATCCACGCACCATGGCCTCCCACAGTGTTGGGATTACAGGCTGAGCCACCAAGCCCGGCTGAATATTTTTATAAAGCATATTTTATTTTGTTCAAAGTAAATTAAAATAAAATCTTTTAAAGATTTGTCTCAGTAGGGATAAAAATAAGCTGATTGAAATTGTACAAAGAAGAAAGAGTTACATTTTTTAATTTCCCAAATACAATATAAACTATACATTTAAAATCAAATAGCTTATATTTTGAAGGGCTTTGTCGGCATGTTTTAAAATATCTTTATGCAGAAGTCCCAAAGGTGACCCAAAGAAACCAGGAATTATCTTTTGGAGAGCGGACCCCTTGTAGTACACACGGAATTTGTTCCTCTGGATTAAACAGTCAACCCACATTTTTATCTGAAAGTTTTTGAGAAAGTTGCATCATGATTTGTGGAAGAAACTTCTGGCGTTGTGGCAAACAGGTGATTGGTTCTTCCACCATAAAAAATGCACCTGCTTATACTGTGCTGGGTGTTCAGAAGCTTTTGACCAAAACCTACATGATCCCAGTGCTCTACCCACCCTATTCACACAATCTCCCTTGAGACACTTTCCTCCCCGCTAGATAAAAAAAGTCTTGATGTGAAAGAGGTAAAACAAGAAACAGCAGAAGCACTAAAAGGCATCAAAATTGGCAAAAACTTGAGCAGTGAAAAAAGCTTCTCAGTAGGTGTATTATATCAGAGAGCACTTTGAAGGTGACTAAAGTTTAAACATGTAAGAATAAATATACAATATTTTTATAAAGAAATTCTGTTTTTTGAGGATCCCCCTTGTATATAAAGCTGGGTCTGAGTTGGGGCGGGGAGATATAGGGAATGTTGGTGGCCATTTCTTCCCACTTATCCCTAACTCCATAGTGGCTCCTGGGAGAACAGTTTAAAAACTATTGATTTTTTTTTTCTCATCTCACTATCTTATTGCTGAGCAACTGTGGTTCCTTAAGGTGAAGTTACTTGCCCAAGGTTACATGATTTAGTGTCAAGAGTGCAGGCACTATGACTATATCCAGTGCTTTCCCACAAGAAATAAATCCCATCCACAAGAAATAAAAATATAGAATATACAATTCTGTAGTTTTCATTACTTACCCAACTGTTTAGGAGGAGAGGGGAAACTAGAAAGAAAATGAGAACAGATTTGTAATCAGACTAATATGAACACAGAAACTGATTCCTGTACATAGGAGAGGTATGAACTGGCAACAGCCCAGAGGCATATAAGAGTTAATGAATCTGTTGATCGACTGTCATTCCTCTCTCATCCTCCATTTCTCCACTATATCCCAGTTTCTGTCGATCAATTTGGAATTTAGCAAGATTTTCTTTGAACCCCAATGGTGGACAAAAAAAAAGTCTAGAGTCAAGACACTCAGTTAATTTGGACCACAGCCATTGGACCAATGTTTTCAGATTTGTTCTATGAGATTCGGGCATTTTATTATACAGGGTGAATTAAAGGAACATGTAGCATACATATCTCTAGCCCAAATCTGTTTATTTGAATTAAAGAGTAGAAATACGGTCAAAATCAAGAGAGATCATAGGAATATGACTGTGTTTCCCCAATATATGCATATATACTCCAAAACAGGAAAATGGTGAATGAGAGGAATATCCACTTAAACCAGAGAATTAAAGCTTATTAATAGAAGTGATCTGAAATCAGGATTTGGTGGCATTTAGTTGCAACAGAAAGAAACTCTTGCTTTTATTATTTTCTGAACTATGACTTCTAAATACAGACAGACACAGATATACACACAAACCACTGAAAGAATGGTGCACAGAACAGGAATGACTGGTTAAATTGCAAGGGATTGTTAATTCAAATTATCTAATATCAGAATAAAGTAGCGTGTAATTGAAGTAAAAAAACTCTTGTTTTATTTATTCATTTATTTATTTTTAGTTGGAGTCTCACTCTGTCACCCAGGCAGGAGGGTAGTGGCATGTTCATGGCCACTGCAGTCACGACCTGCTGGACTCAGGCAATCCTTTTGCATCAGCCTTCCAAGCAGCTGGAACCACAGGCACACACCACCATGTCCGGCTAATTTTTTAAAAATTTATTCTAGAGACTAGTTCTAGTCATGTTGCCCAGGCTCTCAAACCCAAGGGCTCAGGCAATTCTCTGGCCTACGCTTCCAAAAGTGCTGGGATAACAGGCATGAGCCACCATGCTCAGCAAATAAACTCTTATTTTAGATTAAGGATTATATTTGAGCTATGCTGCTCAAGATAAGATTTTTTGTTTTCTTAAAATTTCAAGTGTATTCCTCATTGACGTTTGATGTTTAATAAAAGTGTTTAAAATTAGAAATGTTATATGGGATTAACATTTTATAAAGACTTCAGTTACATATAGTGAATTCATTAGGCAAATGTAAAACAGAAAGCTTTTCTTGTACCAGGGAACATGGTTAAGTTTCTTCAGTTTCATATGTATGGAATTCATACTACAGGGTTATTTTTGAGATGAAGAGAAAAAAGTTATACCTAGTTTTTATTTGGATAAATTAAGATACTTAGAATAATTTTAGTATAGGAAAAATATAATTAAAATAGAATTAATATATTACTATTGTGCAACAGTTACAGAGATTTCAAAGACTGTATTTAGCAAAGAAAAATTCCAAATCATGTTCTTTATTTCTAGAAAATTAATTTTTAAAAGAAGAATGTGTATTTTGAAGAGTAGTCAGTATGAAATAGCAAAATGTAGTATTGGAATTGCAAGTTATTTAGATGTAGTGCCACATCTCAAAAAACATCCTACTAAAAGGGGTGTTTGAGTGTTTGTGTATGAGTATGTATGTATGAGTGTGAGAGTGTGTGCATGTACTTGTGTGTATGTGTGTTTGTGGGAAAAATAAAATATATCTTTGAACTATATGATGATTTTTGAATACTTAGTCTTCTCTGATGAAATGCATGAGTTTAAGGATGACAAATGAGGCTACGATGATGAATGGAAAATGACATTAAGATGGTTTAAGCCTATCAGAATTTGGTTATCAGTTATAGAATATTAGTAGCATTTGATTAAATAAATATTAGTGTAGTTATTGTGCACTGCATTTGGTTGGTTGACTCTTACGATGAACCTTCATTATTGTCTGACTCAGAGACTTTAGTTTTCTCTCGTATACTTTTCTTTCTGTCATCTTTTCCCTTTAACATCTTCAAAATCCCCCAGGACCATGTGTTACTCTTCTCTTCAACCTGTAGTGTGGAGCTTTGGAGTATGCAGGCATTGATCAGAATGTAATAATCAGTGGTATGTGAAGACATTGCACGGACATTCAGATTCTTTATAATTATACTTCATTGATCATTCAGGCAATAAACAATGCATTGCATTCAACAAGATGGTGCTATTAAGTTTACAGATCATATAATGTGTTTAATACTGCTACTAATAGATTGATCATTTTTTCTATCGATTAAGAATTTTCTTGATTCTTAAAATATGAAGTGAAGTCAGAACTGTTTTAAACATCAATTTAACTTTATTTATGATTAAAATGAAATAAGTAATAGATCTGAAAATTTGAAATATGCCACTTTAAAATGGAAAGAGTAAATTTATTTTATTATTAATCTAAAGGATTTTTATTTTTATAAATTATCATTGTTATTTTACACACAAAGATAGTTATTATTAAGCTAAAGGATTAAGCATTCCATACTGGTTCTGTAAGATGGCATATGGTCTTAACAAATTTGGGTTGCCTATAATTATGTTATTATACAAGAGAAAGACATGCAACTGATAAACTCTTCAGAGATTGTTGTAAAAGCAAATTATTGACTGATAAATAACAGATTGAAAAGGGTTTAAAAATATAGACAACACCTGTGACTAATCATTTTACTTCTTTGACCACAGTTGTTGAGGTGCTTCCAAACAATCTACCACTTCATTTGAAGTGTGGTGCAATTACACTTCCTCATTTACTATTGCTTTAATTAAACATTTAAATCATGTTGGGTAGTGTAATAAAGAACACTACTTTCTGCTTTTTATCCTAACTGGAAATCAAAACTAAATTTCAGTCCATACAATAATTTGCAAAAAGAAATTCGCTAATTATTCTTACCCATCATCAGCATCTTCCTCTTCAATCCCATCATAAATATCATCATCTGGAGGTGGTGGAAATATCCCTTCATTTGGATTAAGTGGGAAATATTCTGTTAATTTTATAATTTGGTCACATAATAATAACAACTCAGATTTAAAAAAAAAAATCTGATCTTTTAGCAATCACCAAACTGTTTTCCACAGAGGTTGTACTAGTTTACACTCCCACCAACATTGTAGGAAGTATTCCCTTTTTCCAGCATCTGCTGTTTTTTTGAGTTATTGATGATGGCCATCCTGACTTAGCATCCTTTGTTCATATTAATCTTTTAAAAAATAAAAAACTGCTCATTCCCACTCTCACATAGTTAATTTATTTGTTAATAATTTTGCAAGAAACTCTTAGGGCTGATATTACAATAATGAAACAAGTGTTCATAAAAGGTACTGTGGACATGAGTTTCTGAAACAGGGGAGAATAAACATGAGAAAAAGTAAAACTGAATAGGGGTTAGAGTTAGATATTTATTGTGGAAAAGAGAAGAAGTGAGGAAGTGAAACAATCTAGTTAACAATGAAGAGGACTCAGAAAAAGATACTGACCAAGATATAAGTGGGAAAAAAGCCAATGAAATGAAAGGTGAATTTTGAAACATTGATTGTAGTTGAAACAAAGAAAGAAATGAAAAGTGGCCTTTTAATACATATTTTCTAAAGTTAAAGCCTTTCTGGTTTCACCTGTTGTCCCACACTCCTCAGGAAACTTGGTAATTTTACAGATATTTATTTAACGAATATTTATTTGTGTACCTTCTATATACAATGAACTTGAAATTTGACATTTAGTATAAGAATTTTAGCACTGCGATGTTCAAATCCCTGATTTTGTTGCTGGAAAATATAGGGGTCATTAGGAGCCATAAGATGACTGTATAGGTTATCATCCAAACAAGGACACTTCTGAAAGTGAAGGATGCTATTATTAATTGTACTCAGATCATTGGCATAACTCAAGGTGGCCCTAGGTACAATGGAGTAAGGTCACACTATGATTCAAAGCAATTTACAGATTCAGTGCAGTCCCTCTCAAAATACCCATGATGTTTTTCACATAAATAGAAAAAAATTCCAAAATTCATATGATACCAAAAAAGAGCCAGAATAGCCAAGGCAATCCTGCGCAAAAAGAACAAAGTTAGAAGCTACACACTACCTGACTTCAAACTGTCTCACAAGGCTATTGTAATAAAAACAGCATGGTACTGGCATAAAAACAGACATATAGGGCAAAGGAACAGAACAGAAAAATCAAGAAATAAACTCACGTATTTACAGCCAACTGATTTTGGCAAAGAAGTCAAGAACATACATTGAGGAATGACACATTTTTCAATAAACGGTGCTGGGAAACTGGATAGCCACATGCAGAAGAACAAAATTGGACCCCTGTTTCTCACAACTTATGATGGATTAAAAATTTAAAGCTAAGACCTCAAACTATAAAACCACTGGAATAAAACATAGGAGAAACACTCTAGAACACTAGTTTAGGTGAATATTTTATGGCTAAAACCTCAAAAGCACAAACAAAAAAAACCCCAAAAATAGACAAATAAGACTATATTAAACTAAAAAGTTTCTTACAGCAAAGCAAACAATAAATAGAGTGAAAAGGTAACCTGTTAAGTGGGAGAAAATATTTGCAAACTTTTCATCTGACCAGGGACTAATATCCAGAATACAACAAACTCAACAACTCAGCAATTTTAAAAATCCCATCAAAAAGTGAGTAAAGGACATGAATAGAGAATTCATAAAATAAGACATATAAATGGGAACAGATATATTAAAAAGTGCTCAACATCACTAATTATCAGGGAAATTCAATCGAAACCACAATGGGATATAATCTTACCCCAGTTAGAATGGTTATTATCAAAAAGACAAAAATTATCAAATGCTGGTGAGGATGTGAAGAAAAGAGAACTCTTATACACTATTGGTAAGAATGAAATTAGTACAACCACCATAGAAAATATCCTAAATACACTCACTTGATCATTATACATTCTATACATATAACAAAGTATCACATGTACTCTGTAAATATGTACAAATATTATGTATCAATTTAAAAAGTAATTTTAAAAGTGTATGGCTTACCTCCACTTCCACTCTGACTGTGGCTAGAAAAAAAACCAGAAATATTAAATTAATAACAAATTATTTAGTTATCAGGAAGAGAAGTACATATATTGATCAGTTATACAGAAGTAAAATTCCATTTAAAAGTTATTAGGATGTTATATGTGAAGAGGAAGAAAAACATATTCCTTATCTTAATAGGTGACTAATAATAAGTCAACAAAACAAGATAAACAAATAAAAAGATCCAAATTTTAGTAAGTTATAGTATTTTATGTGATATTCAAAATAATAATCTTTGCTCTTAGCATTTTTCCATGAGGTAGTTTTCAGATGACATACATTATTATATCATTCCACAGATGAGCAATTAAAACAAACCCCATAGGTATTATCCCAGGACTCATATAGAGCCATTATCATTGCATTAAATTAAATTATTTTTCAATATCTTATAACAACAGCAATTTACTTTTAGTCCAATAGCATTACATTTTTTTAAAAAAAGAAATACCTTTTAAAAGTTGTAATCTCTTTTTTTAAAAATCAATATTTTTTATTATGATGTTGTGGGGTACAGTTAAGGGTTAGGTATACAAATATGCTTCATTTAGGCCCCCTTGTTGATAACAGGTGTCTCCCCATCCCCAGACAGATGTTTACTACCATTAGTCCCATCCCCCTTCCCCCCCCCTCATAGTTTCCCCCACCACTGTCAGTCATTTTCTTATGGTAGTGCGTTGTATGATCAAGGTCCACTATATGAGTGAGAACATGTGATACTCAAATCTTTGTTTCTGTGAGAGATCACTCAGTATTATAGACTCTAGTTCCATCCGGGTTGCTGCAATATTCATGATTTTGTTCTTTTTATGGTTGCATAGTATTCCATTGTGTATATGTACCATATTTTTTTAATCCAGTCCTATATTGATGGACAGGATGGTTGGTTCCAGGTTCTTGCTATTGTGAACAATGCTGTGATAAACATTCATGTGCAGGTATCTTTTTTATAGAGTGATTTGAGTTCTTCAGGGTATATTCCCAGTAGGGGGATTGCAGGGTCATATGGGAGGTTGATGTTTAGAGTTTTTAGGGATTGCCACACTGCTTTCCACAGAGGTTGCACTAGTTTACACTCCCACCAACAGTGTAGGAGCGTTCCCTTTTCGCCACACCCTCTCCAACAACTGTTATTTTTTGAGGTATCGATAATTGCCATTCTGACTGGAGTTAGGTGGTATCTCAGTGTGGTTTTGATTTGCATCTCCCTGATGATTAGTGAGGTTGAGCATTTCTTCATGTGTTTGTTGGCTGCTCGAATGTCTTCTTTTGTGAAGTGTCTGTTCATAAGTTTTGCCCATTTTATAATGGGGTTGTTTGTTTCTTTTCAGCACATTTGAGTTCCTTGTGATCCAAGATGTTAAGCCTTTGTCAGACCTGGAGTTGGCAAATACTTTTTCCCAGTCTGTAGGCTGTCTCCCTGCTCTCTTGGTGGTTTCTTTGGCTTTGCAGAAGCTTGTCAGTTTAATGAGGTCCCACTTGTCTATCTTATCCCTTATGGCCTGTGGGTTTCGGGTTTTGTTCAGGAATTGGATGCCAGTTCCAATTTCCATGAGGGTATTTCCTTCATTTTCTAAGGTTCTTATGTTTTGAGGTTTTACATTTAGGTCTCTGATCCATTTGGAGTTAATTTTTGTATGTGGGGATAGGTAGGGGTCCTGTTTCAATCTTCTGCATGTGGTCAGCCAGTTTTCCCAGCACCATTTACTGCACAGGTTCTCCTCTCCCCAGTGGTAGGTGGTGGAGGCTTTGTCAAAGATGAGTTGATTGAGAAATTGAGGTTTTGCTTCTGGAATCTCAATTCTATTCCATTGATCTATATGCCTGTTCCTATACCAATACCAAGCTGTTTTGATGATTGTAGCTTTATAGTAAAGTTTGAAGTGAAAGTTGTAATCTTAATAATGGGGCTTTTATATGGTGTAATCCCTGACTGTCTAAATCTAGATTGCCCGTGTTGCTTACTTACTTCCACAACATTCTATATTTTCTCTGTTTAAGCATTTATGTTATAATTGCCTATTTCTTGCCTGTATCTCTCACTAAAATGTGAGTTCTATGAGAGCAAAGACAATATTGTGGACTGTGAGAACTGAAAAAATCTCAGAAGCTATCTATTCAATTCCCTCATTTGCTAGAAAGGAAATGGAGGCTCTGAGAGATTAAGTGACTTGACCAAGCCCACTTCCCCACCTAGCTGCACTCTCTCATCTCTCATTTTCACCCTTGGTTAATCCATCAGCTACAGATATCAGTTTGATGTTACAATCATATGGGACAATTATATATAATTCCTTATGTTAAAAGTCAGTAAAAGAAATTGATTTGATGCAGATCTCCTGTTAATTTAGGAATAAAAGCATACTGTTACTGATGGAACTTTGTTGAAAACATGCTATAAACATCTTGCTACGTACATAAGGAATTGATTTTTGAAGAAGTTGCAACATACTCTCTACTTGGTTATGGACAATTTTCATGTTTATTTTCCCTTTCCTTTCTCTCTGAGTTTGAAACAGGCAGTTGGAGTTATGTGAAGACTTGCATTCTAGTTGACTGCCACTCCTGGCAAATATATTTCATCTCGGAGATTTTTACAACCAATCCCTAAAGAGCAGGGTTGTGGGAATCAGGAGTAAAACTGCCACTCATGTATTTCATTTCTAGAGCAATTCTTCGACTTCCTAAAATGGCCTGTTTAGAATGTCAAACATTGAGTGGGTAAAGATGAGGTAGAGAGGAGGGCATGAGAGGAGAAAAGAGGGAGAGAGAGATACATGGAAGGAAGGAGGTTTGCTGTGTGATGGTAGGGGGTATTCGCATTTGTAATTTCATTTCCTCACAAAAATTGCTTTAAGTGGAGAAAAGGACAGCTGTCAGGGCTTGTGTTTGAAGTCTCATGTCTGTTCCAGAGTTTGAAGCCCCCAACCATTTTGCCTTACACTATGGGAATCAGGAAAGAGCAGGTAGAGAGTGCAGGAACCAAGAGGCATGTGGAAGAGGGGGACGGAGAGGATGGCACCTCCTCTTCTCCTTACTCTTGCCAGAGCAAGCTGCAGCTACACTTAGCATCTTTTCTTTTCCTACCAAGAACAAAACATGTTTTGTTATGAGATCTCTGCCAGCAGCAGCTGTAGTTTCAAAAATAAAACATGTATAGAAATGACCTCTTCTGCAATTTTCTTATTGAATGTGCATAAGAGAAGTCTAGATTCTAGTGAATATTGTGAGAATATTTGTTTAAGGTACTGAGCACTAAAACCACACACCTCCTCCAATTTCCTTCTTTTATTAAATATAAGATTCTTTTTTTCTATGTATTTACCAACTAGAGCATATTTTTAGAGTTGTGGTCTGTGTGGATTTGGCAAAATGGAAAAAAGTAATAATGTTAGTTTGGGGAAGTATTTTCCTATATGGCTAAACAATGCTTCATTTTACGAACATCATTTCTTTTTCATGAATTTATTATTTGTTTATTGAGTGTGAACATCAGTGTAAATATGTATTTATTAGTGTAACTAGAGTTCTGTAAACACAAAATAATGTGCTTTTAAAAAGTAATTAAAGATACTCATAAAGAATATACATACTCGACATATTCATGTCTAGAAAATTCTTTAAATTTTAGAATATGACCCTTAGGAACCTCATCCACCCTCCAAACTGGTATTTACTGACTCTCAAACCAGGCCAATGTGTTTCTTATTACTGAATTCAATTTATGATGTGCAAACTCAAGTGCATGCATGTTTGATATATGTGGCATAATTTATAGTTATAATATGGTAAGAAGGCTATAATTCATTTTAGAAAGACGAAACTGCCAGAAAGCAGCATAACGGGTTTAATTAGTGAAATGAGATAAAAGATCATATGAGGGAAATTTAATCCTTCATATGCCTTATAAATATATTACTAATTTGTTGGTCTTTCTAATGGTTGAAAATTAATTTTTTCTCTTTGAGATTTGATTTAGGAAGAATGCACACATATTTTACCTAGGTAAAGATCTAGCACAGATTGTGTTTTTTGTGATCACAGTGAAGGTTTTCTAATTTTATAAGGTAGGCATAGAAAAATGAGGATTCTGAACTGGGCTGGGGACTTTCCTCCTCCTTTTCTTTCAACTTGAGGGGATTATAGCTTTAATAGGAAAGGAAGGTATTGGGGAAAAGAAAGAATGCAAGGAGAAGGGGATGAAAAATGACAAAGGAGAAGAAAGGACAAAGGAAGATCAGAGCTAGGACTCAGAGACGGAAGGAAAAGGATAAAGAGAAAAAGGAAGACTGAGAAAGGAAAGAAGGAAGAAAGAGGTACAAGGGAGAAGACAGCCGATCTTTTCTCATTGCTACTCCTAAAAGGGATGTCCTATCCTGTTCCTCTCTCCAGGAAGATGTCTCCATAATTCTTAGAGAGAAAGTTACTTTAATCTATTGGAACAAATGGGCTGTGGAAAATTGAACCCTAACTGATATCCGGGGATCATAGGGATTTGAGTTTTTACTTTTAAAGGGAAAACTGGAGTTTTAATACAAATTATTATTTCTTCTGTTATGTTTCCAAATAATAACAACAAATATATTTAGACTCAGAAGTTTCAGAGTTTAAAAAAATGTATATTTTATGTTTCATACTTTACTAAACCATATTTATATTAGACATAGCCCTAAGATCAAATCATAATGAATATTATAAAAAAGCATTCTATAATGCAACATATTTGACAAGATCTGGCAAATGGCTCATTCTATTCCAAGTAGTATTTGATACACATACATATCAAACAGTAAAGCAAAACACTAGTTTCAAATGACATTTCATCCATGTTGAGGTTAATGTAAATGGTTGTTTAGTATAGTCATAGAGAGCAGCGGCGATATGAAAGGCAAAAGTCTAGGATTTTAAATAGATCAGCTCTGACATAGAGATAGTCTGATCTTCTCTACAGTATGTATCTGCACATACCTGCTAATATTATCCTGCTCTGCAACATCATCATATACTTCTTGGTCATCTTCAATAGGTCTTGAAAGAGGCCCGAGAGAGGATTTTTTCCTTCTCAAAGAATCGTAGTCAATCTCTACAGCAGTTGTTTTAATATAGCCATCTACCAAAAAGGGAAAGATTTATGTTCAGGCAACTGTAGTTTAAATATTGAAAAGTTGTGAATAAAATATCAATTGCACATTTGTTCTTTAAAGTTTCCCTTTATTTGCTTGCAATTCTGATTTATAGACATTCCACATGGACCCATGTTTTACTGTATCTGCCAAAGTCTTATCCTATTGTACTTGAGTATAAGCCTACAGTGTATTTTAAAGATTCCAAAGTGATTCACATGAAGCGTGTTCTCTTTTGAACATCAATGAAATTTGAGCATATAGAGAGTATAGGAACCAAGAAGCATGTGGAGGAGGGGGGAAGGAAAGGATAGTTAGAGGAAACTAATGCTCTTTGCGCCTTCCTGGAATAATATAAAACTGCATTGTTTCCTACCAAAAACAAGAACACAGATGGGGTGAAGATAGAACCATGCCGGTTATTTAAAATTTTCCTCTTTGTCTACCTGTAATGTACTTCTAACTTGATGCCCATGAGTTGTTCTGGAGGAATTTGCACATTTAATACTGTCTCAAAAAGAAGACATTTTGAGGTCATAGTGAAATCTGCACTCACATGACCCTCTTGCTGTTCTGCCCAACCATTTTCCTTCGGGGTTGTCTGTGATGCGAATTATTTCAATTGGCTCTCCTTGCTTGAAGCTTAGTTCATTCTTTCCTCCTTTGACGTCACAGCAAGCTTTTGCTTGATGGATGACTTGAATAGGGCCTGTTAGCTGCAAAAAGTAAAAAAAAATAAAATAAAAATTACAACAGATTTTCTTATTATTCAGAAAATCTTTATGGAATGCAGTTTTAGAAGACAGTAAGTCCACAACTTGCTAACCTACATATATTCATTTTCAGGTTTGAACTAGAAATTGAGGGTGAATGTTCTTAAAAGGAAGGGCTAAGAAAAAAATCATGGAGACCAGGTAGGACCAGCAAAGAACAGGTGTACATATTTTTGGAGTCCAGGAGATTGTGGCAGGGATATGTTGACTTTAGGAACTCATAAGAGGCCTGGAACGGCAGCATCCAATAACTGAATAGCACTTATATACAACTATTCATACTGAGTGCCCTGTGTTTTTATACAATATGTCAGTGGTCTGTTTTGTAGATGGAGTTTTTTTCCACCTTGCATTGCATAGTCATTCTAATGGTTCTCTTCAGGTCTAAAACAACAAAGGGAAAAAGTGGTGGTGGTAGATTATACTTGTGGGAGAAGCATTTTTTCTTTTTTTTAAACTTTGTGAAATCTGTCTATAAACTTGGTGTAAACATTACCTCCTATAAAAAAGGTAACATTTCAGAAATAGATTTGTCATTAAAAAAGCAATACATGTTATGTGAGGTTTTTAAAATTAATATTCTGAGCAGTATAGAGGTTTCTGGACAGCAGGGGAATGATCTAGTTTGGACCATGAATCCTAAACTCTTAATTTCCTAATCCTAAATTGATATCTCTTTAACAGAATTTCTTGGATCTATTTCTCTTTTAGGGAGGAGGTCTTGCTATGTTGCTCAGGCTGGTCTCAAACTCCTGGGCTCAAGGGATCCTCCCACTTTGACCTCCCAAAGTGCTAAGATTATAGGCCTGAGCCACTGTGCCTAGCCCGAATTTCTTAGATCTTTTGATAAGCGAATATGAGTTATGATTTTTGAAGAAGCTCTGCCTCATTTTATTGAACTTATGATGCCATGAATTATAAACATGTATCATGAATCAGGTACCACTAAGAAATAAAGAAAACTGTTCATGTTAAATTATGGTAATCCATGATGTGGATAAGGCTCTATTCTCACATTCATTTAATTTTTTTTTGCCCAATATTTATTAACACTTTGTGGAGGAACATAGCTTATAAAGTACCAGTCTTGACAAACTTTTGAGTTCATATTTAATGATATGATTTCCATACCTTATTTTATCTTACTAAAACTATTATTTGAATGAATGAGTAAAATAAAGTAAAACTGATTTCTCCAAAATAAACATGGAAAAACTTCATATAATTTCTTTAAATATATAGGCAATTTCTTCAAAAAAGAATATTATATAGATTTTAATTTAATAAATTATTTTTTCACTTGAAAAATATGAACATTGGTAGTCATGCATTTGTGTGAGTAGAATGTTTTTATATTCATACTATAATCATAATTTTACTTATGTATGGCAAACTTTTTAAAAATTTAATGAGAATTTGCCTTCTGTGCATTAATATTATTATTATTATTTTAACTGGAATCTCACTCTGTTGCCCAGGCTAGAATGCAGTGGCATGATCATGGCTACTGCAACCTCGACCTGCTGGGCTCAGGTCATCTTTCCACCTCAGCCTTCCAAGTAGCTGGAGCTACAGGTGCATGCCACCAAGCCCAGATAATTTTTTTTGATTTTTAGAGTCGAGGTCTGGCTACGTTTTCCAGGCTCGTCTCGAACCCGTGGACTTAGGCCATCTTGCCTTGGCCTCCAAAATTGCTGGAATTATAGACTTGAGCCACCGCACCCTGCTACTCATTTTAATTAATTCCATAACAAACTTTATAGAGAGGTATAATTTACTCTCACTTTAAAGATTAAGAATCTGAGGCTCAGAGAAGTTAAGTGATAAGCCCAAGGCCATAAAACGCATATATACAGCTAGAATTTCAAACCATGTCGACAACTGATTCTATGCTGCGTTTCCCCTGTACCATGCTGTTGGACTTTTGCTTTAATACGACGAATGTATTAGGAATTTACATATACATCAAATGTTGATAATTCAAACCAAATACTAAATGCTCCAGAGAAATAAATATTTAAAGGACCCATGATGTGAGTTTTTTAAAAATGAAGAATAGTTTTGAAATTCAGGCAATGACCCTAAGTATATGTGACACGCCAGACCCATACCCTGTGAGCTATATGTCATCAGAGATATGAGTGTAGCACTTACTGGGGATGGTGATAGAAGACAAAGGTCAGAATCATGATAGACAAAGAGGCGTGAGATAAAGCAGATATCAGAAGTTGGCATATAAGGCTGGGCATGGTGGCTCATGCCTGTAATCCTAGTACTTTGAGAGGTCGTGGTGGGAAGATTGCTTGATCTCAAGAGTTTGAGACCAGCCTGGGCAACATAGCGGGACCTCATCTCTAAAAATAAGAATAAAAAACTCAGTCAGGCATGGTGGCATGTGCCTGTAATCCCAGTAATTGGGAGGCCTGAGGTGGGAGAATCACTTGAGTCCAGGAGGTTGAGGTTTCAGTGAGCCATGATCATGCCATTGCACTTTAGCCTGGGTGACTGACTAAGACCCTGATATCCCTCCCCACGAAAAAAAAGTTAGCATGTATACAGACTTAAAATATAGGTGAAAATGTAAGTTAGCTCCAGACACCAACAATTAGAATAGCTCAGAGAAATCTTATTCTGAGAAAGGTCTGGTTCATCCAGGAGACACTTGTGTCCCTTTCCCCTATAATACATGTCACAAGGGTATCTATGTGTGCTGATAACAAATACATGATGAGGAGAGCCAAGATGGGTTTGAGTCAGCAAGTATGCATTCACTCAACCAACTTAAAATTTCCTGGGTATTCACTAATTATAAACCACCATATGTTATTTGAATTTTATCATATTACATTTTTTCAGTGCAAGGATAAGGGAGCGCACTGGACAAAAAGTACCATTGTGAAGATAATTATTCTTTAAAAAACAATGACTAAGTAATTCCTCAGCTATGCCAGGTTTCAAGAATGGCACCCTTTTTGTGTGACAGTTATAAAAAGACATTACTCTTACACTCATCAGCAAGTCCTTACTTTAAATTTCTTCTTTATTTCTTGTTCTTTCTTTTCTTTCTCTTTTTGTTCCTTTTTCTCCAGCTCTAGTCTCTTCTTTCCCTCCTTTTCCTTTTTCTTCTCTCGTTCTTTGGATGCTTCTCTGTGAATACAAATTGTTAGGTTGTTTTCACTGACAGGGCTTTCTATCCAGAGAGATTTCTACCCACAACAGGAGATGGTATTTGAAGTAAAGATGGCGGTAAAGAGACAAAGGCTGTTAACATCCTGAAAGTAAGAGATTGTCTTTAAAACCAGTAGGAGGCACACAGATGAGGATACCTTCCAATGATTCCATTTCCCCTGACTACTTGTGCCAGTAAGAGAAGTCACTGTTTAAAAAGGCCCATTTTACTGCATATTGGCACTAAAAAAATCCATCTCTTTCATGTGCATGAATGCCCACACATTCATAGGTGCACATGTAAATCTTGCCTCAAAATTTTATTCAGAATTGGGTAAATAAATACTAGGGAGAGAAAATGAAGATATCTGAGCTCAACACATGATAAAATAATACATTTCTACTTTCATCTACATTCCAAGAAATATCTTAATCTTAGGCTACCTAGAAACCCATTTTGGAGTTATTTTTAACATCTTTCGACTTTGGTATCTGAGTGTTATGTTAAATTATTTCTCATATCACTGCCCAGGTAAAGACTGGATAGCACATAAGTTAATTCATTTGCTCAAAGACACACTGAGAGCAAGAAATAGATTCCTCTCTCTGATTACCTGTCTGTGGTTTCTCTCGTAGGCTGCAGGTCTCTGTTCCTCACACAATAGATTTTTTTTTTTTTTTTTTGAGTTGGAGTCTCACTCTGTTGCCCAGACTGGAGTGCCGTGGCCGCTCCTGGCCACCGCAGCCTCGACCTGCTGGGCTCCGGCAATCCTTCCACCTCAGCCTTTCAAGTAGCCGGAACTACAGGCATACACTACCACACCCGGCTGATTTTTTGATTTATTGAAGAGATGAGGTCTCGCTGCCCAGGCGGGTCTCGAACCCGTGGGCTCAGGCAATCCACTCACCTCAGCCTCCCAAAGGCGTGGGATTATAGGCTGAGCCACCGAGCCCGGCTACACAATAGATTTTTAACAAAATTCTTCATAGACTCCTTAAATAACTAAAGAATTTTTAGTCCTTTGTATTGAAATAAAAATTCTCATTATAAGGAGGACCCAAAAAACCCAAAATTTATTTATGAAAAGTTGTGTATTCTTTCATGTTTAAATTTCAGTCACCTTCAAAGTACTCACTGTTTGATGTAACACACCTATTGAGATGCTTTTCCACTGCTCAAAACAGCTTTTGAACTCATCAATTTTTATGTCTTTTAGTGCTTCTACTGTTTTTTTGTTTCACCTCTTCCACATCGGCAAAACGTTTCACTTTGAGGACTTTTTTCATCCAGGGAAACAAAAAAATGTCCCTTGGGGTGAAATCGGGTGAATAGGGAAGGTGGGGCATGAGACTTTATGCAGTTTTTGGTGAAAAACTGCTGAACACTCAGTGTGGTATGGACAAGTGCGCTCATAAATCACCCATCATGATATGGACAAATGTGTTGAAAGAATCTCTCACCCCCCCAAAAAAAAATTCACTGAAGCAGAATGCAGTCTCTCACAACAATGCTAGCTGATACACTGATGCTTATGGATTCCTAGAACACTTATCTAGCAGGGGAAGCCTGTACTATAAGGGGACCACCCTCCAAACAGTAATTCTGGGTTTTTTCGGGACCCTCCTCGTATATGTCAATCATTTGGACAAAGCTTCCTCCCTCGTGTTGTTGTATACCCACTGTCCCTCAGATAAAATATTATATTCATCTTAGAAGAAAAATATTATAGTTTAAAAATGTAATTCATACATGTCTTCATATGTTTCTCCATCACTGTCTTGTACCTGTCAAGAAAAACATTGATAATGACTAATTTTGATTTTTCAAAAAATTAACACATGCATATTATGTTAATTAAATACTCAAAAGCAAGTATTTGTAAGTTTATTTAATTTAAGTATATGTAAGTTTGGATTGTTTTATATATTTTTTTCTTTTTAGAGATAGACTAGGAAAATAAACACAGAAAGATTTTGTTTTCTATCTTGTATGTATTCAAATATGTAGCCAGACTTAAATTTATGCTCTGCACAATTAGTAAGTGACTCATTACTATGTGTCAGTATAATGATTGATGTTAACTGTCTCAAGCATTTTAGATGAAATAAGATTATAAATGAAAAGGTATTATCATTACTCATAAGAATTTTCATTTGTTTGGTTTATGCCAATAGGAGGTGAATCACAATAATTGCTAATATTGTAGTTATAGCAATATAATATGAGAAGAACAAATAATCTCACCTCATCTAGATTTCCAGTACCTAAAGGATTTAAAAAGAAACTGAATTTAATACTGTTACAATAAGAAAGCATTTTAATAAAGGATTATTGAATTTAACTTAATAATATTCAAAACATTCATAACCTAATGGAACTTATGCTTTACCAAAGCTATAGAAGTACAAAATAGAATATATACATGAGATTCTTATGATAATTTTTTGATACTTGTAACTTAATTATAAAATAATTTCATTTGCTTTCATAAAATAATGCAAAGCCACAGAATAATTAAGACACTGTTTATTCCCTTCATGAAAGGCAAGTCCATCTCGTTCCATCTGGTTATTTTATGAAAAATAACAACTAGATCACACTTTTGACCCTTCATGTATCAAACAAATCAACTAGATTTAAAAAGTCAATTAGATTTTTTTCAAACAATATTTTCTACTCAAGAGTTTAATGTAATATCAATTAATTACTAGATATCAAGACGTAATTTAATATTAAGAAAAATTCTATAATATTAACAGCAATAATAGTAAAAGCAGTGTGATTGGATAAGATAGACCAATGGTATAAATAGACCAATGGAACAGAACAGAGAGTTCAGTGACATACACAGATTTACACGTACATACTCATATAATAAAAACATAAATGCTCACTCTCAAATATATATGTGTATATATCCACACACATATAGAGTTGGTATAATATAAAGGTTATTATAAATTAATGAGAAAAAGAAGGATACAGCAATGAGAAAACTGGCTCCAAATCTGGGTTTCTACTAACTTCTCAATGGGAGACTACAGAGAGATTAAAGACCTAAATACATTTAAGTGAAAAAGTCCACAGAAAAAATAAATGTCCACAGACATTTTTATTTTCTAGTGATGAAGACTTTTTAAATAAAACTTAGCACAAATGATAAAGCAAAAATTAATGAATTTAATTATATCAAAATTTATTTGCAGTCCGTGAAGGATAGCATGAGTTAAGTTGCTATACAATAAGCAGAATGGGAGAAGATATTTATAGTGTTTGAAATTGACATGAGATGACTATCTGGAATATAAAAGAGTTTCTGCAAGTCAACTAGAAAAAGATACCAACCCCAAGAAAAAGAATAGTTAAAAAATAGAAACAGGCAACTTACAGAAGAGGAAACCACAAAGACTAATAAGCAAATGAAGTGCTCGAACTCAAGAGTAAGCAAAGATATAAACATTAAAAGAAGATATAATTTTATACATAAAAGAAAAAATGGAAGGGTGAATAATGCCAGGTGCTGGTGACAGGTAGGCATGTTTGAAACTTCACATCATACTGATGAGAGTGTAGACAGATGCATGAATTCTGGAGTGCACTCTAGTCATACTCAGTCAACACAGGTATTCCATAGCTATAAGCAACCATTCTACTGCTGGATATATATAAGATAGTCTCTGAGAGGTCCACATAGGGTAAGTACAAGAAGGTGCACTGCAGAGTTATTTGTGGTACCGGTGAGTTGGTGACACATAAAATGGATGCATACTGCGGAGTACTGTGCAGTAGTTAATAGCAACAAATTCAATGCACACATAGTAATATGAATGGGCCCCAAAACAACATTATGCTGAATGTACAAAAAACGCAGAGTAACTTATAACATACTGTTTATGTAAATTAAATATATGCATATATACCACAATATGTACAACCACACACATACACATTAGAATATTTGCCTGTGGTAAGGGAGGACAAGAAAGAAAGTGGGTTATGGGAATGAAAAAACAAAACAAAACAAAATGAGAAAGCGGTCTTGTATGGGCCAACGATGATAACAACTCATTAATGTACCTATAAGAGTGATTAACTCAAACTTCTGTGTCTGAGGTAACAAATATATAAATATCTTTTTGCCCTTTACCATCAGAGTGCACGACACCATCTTGATTTTCTTCATTTACAGGGCTTCTGAAAACAAGAAAAAGTGAAAATTGAATAAGTACATGTTTGCCTTACAATGAAACAGAAAAAAAGGATCATTTTTTTTTGAAACTGACTTTTTAATATTTGCTCTGATTCAAAATGTCAGCTATCACTAGCACATGCTTTACCCTTATATTTATACTGCTTTTGTGGTCAAAACAAAAAAAAGGAGAATTAGGAAACTTGAGTACAGCACTATCCATTCATAGTAGACACATACAATTAATCCATTGTTTCTGTAAGGTAATATGTTTTCCATTAAATTGGCAGTAAATCAATAATTCAACTCTGGGATTCTGAAGACTTTCAATTGGTTCTATGGGATATACCAAAGAGAATTAGTGCCAATTCCTCACTTCTTCCTTTTCTCCAGATGGTTTCCACCTGGCTTTACTTTCTTCACTTTGAAGGTGCTTCATTCCAGCAACTTCACTCCAACTGCTCGTCACAGAATCATCAACACCTGGACTCCCCAAATCCCTAATGATTTATATGTAACCCATCTATGTTTTCTGTTCCTATTATCGGGTTGATTAGCATGACTGGAGAAAATGGCTCATTTTACTGACTCTGTTTTGTTTTGTTTTTTGAGTTGGAGTCTCACTCTGTCGCCTAGACTGGAGTGCAGTGGCTGCTTCCAGCCACCGTAGCCTCAACCTCCTGGGCTCCGGTGATCCTTCTGCCTCAGCCTTCCGAGTAGCTGGAACTACAGGCACGTGCTACCACACCCGGCTAGTTTTTTTTGATTTATTGTAGAGATGAGGTCTCGCCGAGTTGCCTGGGTGGGTCTCGAACCCATGGGCTCAGGCAATCCACTCGCTTGGCCTCCCAAAGCACTGGGATTACAGGCTGAGCCACTGAGCCCGGCCATTTTACTGACTCTGTACACTATAAATAATTGGTATTCGATCTCAACTGTACCTCCCTCAATGCTATTCTATAATTTCATCACTTTTTTCCTTGTCAGCCTTCTCTTGCATCATTCTTCTCAATACCCATTACAAACTTTTACCACTTTTCTCAAATCTTCTATTTCTCTTCTCTCTCCTATAATCAGATGACCTTATTTCTTTTTTCACTGATAAAACAGCAGTTATTCAGTGTGAATTCTCTTAAGAAAATACATTCCTTTAACCCTACAGTGATACCCATTCTTACCTTCTCCCTGCCAAAGTTCTCTCCACCCGAGTTCTGAATCCTACCTGAACTCTCAGTGATTTACTCCATCAATTATCACCTATATTCCATGTGTCATCATACTATTTATACTCTTCTTTCACTCCCAATTCTTAAATATCTCATTCTTTATTTTTCCTTCAGCCCAAGTTACTCTTATCCATAAAAAACAAACACTTAGACTGGGTGCGGTGGCTCACACCTATAATCCCAGCACTTTGGGAGGCTGAGGTGAGAGGATTGCCTGAGCCCAGGGGTTCAAGACCAGCCTGGGCAACTTGGTGAGACCTCATCTCTACAATAAATCAAAAAATTACCTGGATGTGGTTGTGTGTCCCTGTAGTTCCAGCTACTTGGAAAACTGAGACGGAAGGATTGCCTCAGCCCAGCAGGTTGAGGCTGCAGTGGCTGTGATTGTGCCACTGCACTCCAGCCTGGGTGATAGAGTGAGACTCCAACTCAAAACATAACAAAACAAAACAAAACAAAAACAAAACAAAACAAAATCCAAACACTTGTTTATACCTCTCTGAATCCTCCACGTTGCCACAAGATATTCTTCCTTTATCCAACCAAGGTAAAAAAGACTATTTATACTCAGCAACTCTGCCTCCTCTTCTTTATCTCATTTCTTCACTGACTAAAATCTTTCTTCTACTGCCACTTCTTCACTGAAACTATTCTTAAAACATTAACTACCAAATTCACTGGACAACTCTTAGACTGTCTCTTACTTGATTGCTTTGTGGCCCTTGACAGTACTGGTCATTTTTCCTTCCTTAAGTCCCCTTTGTTTGTTTTTATGAGAAATATTTCCTGGCTCACTTCTTGTCTCTCTGACAACGACCTCACAATTTCCTTTGTGAGTTTATTTTCTTTTGACTTCCTCTTAAGTGATGATACTCCTTTATGTTCTGGCCTTGGCTTTCTTCTCTTTTTCTACTTTACAAGTGTCTCTGAATGACTTTATATACCTCCGTAGCTTCACATATTATCTTAATGTTGGTGACTTCCATGTTGCAATCTCTAGCCCAGGTCTCTCTACTGTTTCAGACTATCTCATCTCATCTCATCTCATCTCGTCTCGTCTTGTCTTATCTTATCTTTCTATCTATCATCTATCATATCTATCTGATCATCTATCTATCTATCTATCTATCTATCTATCTATCTATCTATCTATCTATCTATCATCTATCCTTCAATCATCCATCGATCCACCCATCTGAACTTGGATGTCCTACGTCTATTTCTGTAATAACATCTCAGAAACTGAGATATTTCCCCTTCCATCCCAGCCTAAACCTACTCTATTAGCTTTCTTATCTTGGTGAAAGGCACCACAATTCACGTGTCCACCCAAGCCTCAATTCATCCTTTATTCCCCTTCTTCTTTAAACACATGTCAAATCAATTATCAAGTTCTGTCAGTTTCCCATATTTAATGTCTCCGATAACTCACTTCTCTCTTCTCTCTCTCTCCTCTCTCTTGCTAGACATGAGAACAGGATTATATCATAATCTAGCATAAAGTTTTGCAGTAGCCACCAGGCCAGTCTTCTAGTAATCAAAATTGCTTCTCCTCTTCCCCACCCTAACAGTCCCTTCTCTAACCAAAGTGATATTTCCAACACAAAAATATGGTTATATCACTCTCATATCCAATATTCAAACTCCTTAAAGAGTTAGGAAAGTGTTATTTGAACCCAAGAGATGCTGGTTGCAAAACTGACCTCATTTGAAAAATGAATACTAGAAGTGCCTGCTTATCAAAACTGATCTCATTTGAAAAATGAGTGCTACAAGTGCCTTCTTAGCTCAGTGGATACTTTTGTGACTCAGGAAAAATTGCTGTGGACACATGTATCTCAGTCTCTTCCTGAGATGGTAAGCATATGTAGCGATCAGCTGTTAATCTAACAGACTCACTTTTTTAAAAATAAAAAATTTAACTTATATATACTTAGCTTTCTAATTAGGTAAATGTGAAGGCCCAGTTAATTAACTCATTAAATTGGCCGTGACAAGACACTTGTTCCCTTCAGTGAGTCTTTTTCATCCTTAGAAGAGTCAGATTTAAATATAGAAATGGAGTAAGCTAAACTCATGATAAAAAAAAAATTGTAGAATAAGTTTTAAAATCATTGGGATGATATACATATGTTCAATATTTTAAGTATTTGTAATATTTAAGAGATTTGTTGCATTAGACAATATACAGTCAGATTTGTCATGTCAATTTAAAATTTATGGTTTAGACTTTTAAAAATTTAGTTATTTTAGTTTATTTTTAGTTTTAAAAATATATGGACTCTAGGTCTAGTGTCAGTAGTTGCTTACATCAAAAAAGGAGAGTCAAGGCTTACATCAAAAAAGGAGAGTCAAGTGAACATTATGAGTCCCTGATAAAAGAATACATAATCAAACCGGGCTCAGTGGCTCAGCCTGTAATCCCGTGCCTTTGGGAGGCTGAGGTGAGTGGATTGCCTGAGCCTGCAGGTTCGAGACCCACCTGGGCAGCGAGACCTCATCTCTACAATAAGTAAAAAAAACCAGCCGGGCGTG